TGTGTAATTTATATAATAACTTATCCATGCCTGTACAATAGCTATGTTCCTGCATAAACAGGAAGGAATATATTATTATTATTAAAACAATATTTATGCATGCCTATACGATTGGTGTACCCTACATAGCTAGGGAAAAAAATGTACTTTATTATATTATCTTTACTAAATATGCTTATTAATATTATGTGTAAATTATCGAATTGATGATGCCTGTAAACTGGCGTCCCTCATGTAAAAAATGAGAATATATATTATTATTATTATTATCTTTCGATGATGTATCAATTTATAATACAACGTGACGATTTTAACTTATAACACAACTGATCGTGTCTGTAAAAATAGCTTTCTTATTACCCAATTTGGATATAAATCAAAGATGAGATTCGGACTCTTAGACACCTAAGTTGTATTGTGGAATTACTTCAAGCTTAATTTTTTCTCAAGCATTTTTAATCAATCCAAAGCATACTTGGGTTTTCTTGTTAATGCGAATTCAGTATTCCTATATTTCATGATGTGCTCCATTGAATGTCTGGTTATCATATTGTTCCCACAAACCAAAGACAAAAACATCAGCAACCGTGTAATTTGACCGTAAACCAAATTTATGAAATTTAAGTAATTCTTATGCATGCCTGTACATTTGGTGTGTCCTACACAGGTAGGAAAAAATATGTATTTTATTAAAACATTCTTATTAAGTATGATTGCTAATCGTATATGTAATTTATCATATTGATGATGCCTGTAAACTGGTGTCCCTCATGTACAAAATCAGAATATATTACTATTACTATATTCCACTATACAGTGACATAGGCGTGTCACCGTTCAGAGTTGAGGATATATATATGATAGCAGAGGGTCAGCAAATGAACTCTGCAACCATTTTCCAACCTAGGGCGTCAACTTGAGAGGGGTTGTGGGCGTACTGCTGTTAGTCATACAGTTCTTCAAGGGTAGCTCGTCGAGGCGGAATCCACAACAATTGATGTTTTGATTGTACACATGTTTGTGTTAAGTAATCGATTGGGTTCCAGTTGATCTGATCGTTGGTTAATTTTATAGTTGTTGCATCGTGTGAATCATCTTGTAATGTTATTGTAAGCACTTGTGAAGTCTTTTCCAGTCTTTTAAACTTGTGAATGAATCGATTAGTGTTAGAGTCAGCGCATGCGGTCGGATACACCGGAAAGAGGATTTTGCCAGAGTGATATGAAGTAACCAACAATTCGTGAACCAGATCAGTGGTGGTACTGTCGACAGAGAGCGTAGATTCCACGCGCCGGGGAGAGCGTGTCGGTGTGATGTGGTAGGCTTGTTGTGTGTTCGGCATTTTTGTCTTACTTTTCCAATTTGGCAGAGTCCCGGTTGGCACAGGTCCCGCATTGGCAGTTCAGTTCGAGGATATCATCGCTATGAAAAAAGGGATGGACCGATTTTTGCCGGGAAGTGTCAATGGACGTGAACATCGAAAGTTTGTTCTTGGAACTGGTAAACAATGGTGGGCAACTCGAAGGCGCGAATGGTTCGATCGTGTACAAGTTCGACGAAGACAAACGAAAACGAATAAGAACTTGTATTATTGTGCGCTTGAATTGCCAAACAATGTATCTTCTATCTCACAATACTGGTGTTTCGGAGTTAAAGTCGAAGAAAGTACATAGTTTTTATCGGTGCGAAGCGTCTTCGTAACAATAGAAACTCTGTGCGTCGGTGGCACAGTGGTCAGGACTCTCGCCGACCATGAACATGGTCCGGGGTTCGAGCCCGCACCGACGCACACCTGATATCTATGGTCGGCCTGCAAAATTTGGGCTACCGATATCCATGCTGATAATTCCATACTTGTACCGAAAATACAGTGTGGAATCAAGCTGTAAATCAAAAAAAAAAAAAAGTTACTTGACAGTGGCGTTATTACGTTTCTTCGTCATATGCTAGTTGAACAACCTTGACATATTCCATGTAAATGCACTTCATCTATTTGAGAACTTAAAATCGGACACATTGAGAATGACGATTCGTCAGCTGGCTCCATAGATCCCGACGGCGGCCGACGTAAAAATGTGCATAGCTATGGAGGATAGGACAATCGAAACGACATTTTCAGGGGAAACGTCTCTAGGGAGAGGCTGAAACAAAGTCACTACAACACGGTATGCCACACAGATGCGGTAAGCATTTTAGGAGTTCAAAAGGAGAAAATGAGTAACCTCATTATAATTCATAAGGATTAAATCAACTTATAAGTAGTGAATTCATTTGAGTAGTTTGAGGGGGTATAAGTCGTTCAGCAGACGCAAAGAAGTTATATTTAAAATAAGTATTCTTCAAAATTAATAGTCATCGACAATGCCAAAATCGATATGCAGTCTGAAAAAAATATCAGTGGAAAGTCGCAATCTATACATCAAGACCCAGATATCTAGAGTTCGCATGTAAGCCTCCAGATTTGTGTGACACCGTACGTAAATGGTAGGCGATGTCCAGATCTTCTAGAGTCTTCTCATCGGCCTAGCGTATTCCCGTCTTCTTGCTCCCCACGTGGGGTATGCCACATGATCCAGTCCACCACAATTAGGAATATCATCAGTGATAATTGGCGGCCTTGTCCTACTACTGCACTCATTTCGGAAGATTACCTGATTCCCCCATTGTTAACTAGCTGACATATGACATTTCCGTATAGCACTTGAATAAGACCGATGAAGATTTAGGGCACTCCATAGTTTTGCAGAAAATTCCAAATTATGTGGTGGTCAGCGCCGTCTAAAGCCTTTCCAAAATCGATGAAATTGAGACGGAGACTCGATTGGCATTCTATGTTCTGTTCAGTGATGATGCGTAGTTGTAATCTGACTCGCACATGATTTGATTTTCCTGAATCCAACTCGTCATGGTTGGAGTTTTGAACCCAGTGCATCCGCTAGTATTAGTATTTTACTTGACATGATTACGCGCCAGCCTTTGCACAGACTAAGTCGCCCTTCTTCGGAAGTTTAACTGGGTAGCCTTTCTTCCAATCATCAGATACCTTTCCTTCCCGACGAACGATGCGCAATGGTGGCGTGAGCACATCTTCTGCGGTCTCTGGGTCTGCTTCCAGTGTTTTGAGGAAGGCGTCATCTAGTCCTGCTGCCATCCTGGCATCCAGTAGCTTGACTGCATACAAGACTTCCGCTTTAGTCGGGAGATTGGTGTCCGTAGACATTTCTTTGCGTGGCGTTGGTGGTGTTTCTGGACGAGTCACAGGTGATAGTCAGTTAACGAATCCTTTGAAGTGATCAGTCCATTGCTCTATTTGTCCCTCCTTTTTCCCTCGAGCATGTTTCGCTGTTTTCGTCTGCGTTGAACTCTTCCCGGATAGAGACCTGGCTTTCTGACATAATGTTCTCAGATCTCTTTTTCCTGCAGCCTACTCTGCCTCAGATTCCAGTGCGTTGTGGAATTGTCTTTCCTGGTAGCCTTCTTCACTTCTTTATTCAGCGCGATGTACATCGAACTCAGCTTCTCCTTCTGTTCTGCACATTCGTATTGGTTCGTGCATTTCACCACCCCCTTCTGTCCCATCAGCTTCCAGATGTCCATGGAGGGTCATTCATTGCCTTGCTTCTTCTTTCCTCCAAAAATGGACACAGACATTTCCTCAAGCGTCGCTTTCAGGGAGTTCCGGTGTTCCTCTACACAGGTTTTATCGGTGGTGCTGGGCAATGTTTTCGACTTCGTTCTGACGCCTGTAGTGTAGGTGTCTTTTGCAGATTCATCCCTCAGTTTCTGAGTGTTGAATTTGAATTTTGGTCTGTCTGCAGTTGTTTCAAGTGCTTTCAGCTGGACTTCGGATGTTCGTCAGCCTAGATAATGGTCTAAATCCATGTCTGCTCTTCTTCTTGACTTTGTGCCCAGCAGATTTTGTCTCCACATTCTGGCGATTGAGATGCGTTCTATCTGGTTTTTTGGTGTGTCCATCAGGTGCAACCAATATCGCTTTGTGTATATCCTTGTACCTGTACACGCTGCCTCAAATCACCGAGTCGTTGAAAGCGCAGAAGTCTGCGAAGATTTCTTCCTACTCATTCATTTCGCCTCTCGACTCATGATAAGTTCTCATCCTGTATTATCTGCTCCCAGTTCGTCATTACCGTCTCCCATTAGGATTTTAATGTCGTCATTTTGGACGTCATCCATTGCCGTTTTCAGTTGTCTGTAGAAGTGTTCTTTCAGTCCGAATCTTCCCGTTTCCTCAGCAACCTGGGCAACCTTCCTAGCTTCGTACATTGTGCGAACATTCCAAGTCCCTATCTTTAACTTTGCTTTCATCGAAAGAAGACACTTTGGCTGATCGGTATCACAAATGCTTTCACCAGCACACGTCATCTTGCCTCTCCGATTTCAGCGGAGAATAGGTTTTTTATATTTCTCTTGGGTTTTGAATTTCCTGTATCGACTGAATTGACGTCACAGGTTAGGAACGCTGGCCCCACACCCAAATCCCTCTCTTTCCCCGTGCTTTGGACCTACCAAGAAGCTAGTGAGCTGCTAAACTAGGCGAGGGTAGCTCGGATACAAGGAGTGAACGATGTACAACAATGATAGGAACCTACACAATGTGATGTACAAGGGAATTTCGAAACATATATATTATCTCGTGTAGACAGTATAACCAGCCTAATATACTAGCATTGACACACACGGAGAACATAAATTGAATACCGTCATCGTTAAGGCAATTTTTGTTCATGAGACACTACGTGGTTACGCGTGAAGGCACTAATCAGAACTGCAGTGTAATCTTCACTCCCGGCCTAGTTAACTACCTCTTCAGATGCATATATGAACACAGATTTTCGTTTGATGGAACACTGGATGAACTTGGTCCTTGTGAGTGGCCTGACACTCAGAACTAACCTTTGAAATCAAAGTGTGTGTCGGCTTGTTAAAATGACTTAGCGATATATAACAGTACATATGTAAAAAGGCGGTAACATGAAGAAATGGTTGTTTGCAAAAGAGGTATGATTTTCTGCATGTATGATGAGTATATGTCGAAATAGAAGTTTACCAGGAGTCATAAAATTTTTTGATTTTTGTTTTGCTCTTGGGCAGTAGATTGGATGCTTAGATGATGTGCTTAAGATAAATAGTGTCGAATTCTGAAGTCCGAGAAAAATTAGTTTCTCTTTGCCTTGACTATTTTACAGCTTAATTTTCTTAGTTCACTTAGCTTGACCACTTCGGTAATCTTGAATGAGTCAATGCTCACCATGGTTTGTATAGTTAATTGCAAGGTACACTCTCGAAATCACAGTTCAGACTTGTTTTCTCGCCTAGGGATTCCCATCATGGTGAACGTAACCTAATGTGTCTGTGTCTTTTAGGTCACTAAATAACTCTTCAACAAGTTCATTGCGAAATGCCAGGAAGCCTTTCTGAGTTGTTGATTATTTCGCAACATATGTCGCGATATCGCGAAATAAAAATTAAATGCTGCGATTTCTAGCATATCCACACCAGTTTATGAGTTTCACAAATGAGTTTCTAGAATTGTGATGACAGCTGTTTATACCTGGATACATACTTTGAAACAAGTTTTTCAGGGAATAGTAGTAATGGAGTATAGCGTTCTTCTTCGTTGACTCTAGGTCAGCATTTTGTTGACTTCAGCACAATAGCGCTTATAATACATGGAGACAACATTTTTGTATTCATTTGGTGTGTTGAATATTTTAGAGGAAAGATACGATTCATAATAAATGGTCGGAGTTCTATAAGAGCACGCTCAACCCACAGAATATCGTCTAGAGTTATTTTTCTACTAACTAAACGGTTATTACGTGTTACACAGCGGTACAGTTGAGTGCCCATACAGTGAATAGCACAGCATAATGACACAAATCTGCGGGTTACCGTTCTCCGCAGTCAGAAGTCGTTCAGAACGAAGTATGTGAATTGATTGAGGTAACAAAACCATAGTTTTGAAGTGCTTAACCGAGGTGACACAGTAAAAGCTGTTTACAAATGTCTACCCTTCAAGATTTTAATGATGTATTTATTTATATATGTGTGTTGCAATCACAAAATAAATACATACCTTTGTATACGAATGTGAATTATTTTGTTGGATTATAGATGCACACCTTGCTTTGAATCAGCTATCAGACTATCGTAATCGCTTAGATAGTCAGAAGGATGGATTATTGGTGGAAGCTCTCAATCGGTTGATGAATGTATTCCAAAGTAGACTGTTTCTAAGCTTACTAGGTGAGCCATATTGTGTGTGTGTATTGTGTCGTGTCTTTGAATAATTTACGTCTCATGTGTTTGTTTTCATGAGAAGAGGAATTATATGTATGTTGAATTCTGCACATAACCGATTCATTCGGTTGAGTTATTTCGCCGTTTGGCTCTAGTTAAGAATAAATTTGTGGTGAATTTATCTCTAATATCTGCGGGGTTTTATTAATAATGAAAAAATTACAAGGCTTACGTCCAACCTCTCCTCTTTACAAGGCTTACTATCGGCCTAATATAGTTTTTGGGAGTGCTTCTGTCAGTATTTGAAGCCTGGAGCACATGAAGCGTGGCTTGTGGACATTCTGCCTCCGGCACACTTATTTATCTGTGTTGTTTTTAAATATGCTTTTGTGGAAAGAAAGTGTTGTTAGGTTGATGAATTGAATAATATTATTTTTCTTTTTAAATTGGAGTATTCGTAGTTATCCAGATGAATTACGATGATCTGGCCATTTGCTTTTTTAAAAAGTATACTAGTTTTATAAAAATCAATCAATTTCAAAAAGCGAAATGGATTACTCTGACATTGAAGGATATAATTTCCAGGTGAAATGATGAAGAAAATTATTAACGAAGGATATCAATAGGAGACTCGTGAATTCACTACAGTGCAGAAATAAAACATGGATGAAAATAAAGCTATATACTGACATTTGCTACTGGTCGTGCTAAAATCACAATTTGGTAGAAATTAGAATTCATGTGCTGGCTATTGGATGGGGTCCCAACGCCTAAATGGTTTACATGCTCGCTTTGTTAAGTCCTCGGCTAGAACCCCGGTTGGTGAATGCGTACTGCCGATGAGTCTCGACGTAGGACTAAACAGCCACCTAGTACTCCTGTTGGTTTTTACTGGTTCTCTAACTGATATAAATCCATAGTCAAACTTGAAACAAATCAAATTCTAACAAACGAACTATTAAAAGCTGTATACGTTTTGCCTACTTGCTTTAAATCTTTAATTAAACAGCACATTGTTGAATTAGACGTGTTCTCTAAGCTGGTTGATTTAATTGCAAAGCTTTCGTCGTTCTTCTAGACAACATATTGTTGTCGATCCGTCAGAAATTTCTCGCCAAACAATCTAGATGTGCTTAGGAGAACATATATTTTTGCAGACTAGATGGTTTAATTGCTTGCATCCACATACACACATTTGTTCTCTCCGTCGACCAGATGATAAGAAAACAACAAGTCAAGAGAATTCCACCTTTCTGAAAATTGATGAAATCATGATGAGATTTAACGTAAGACCATTTACCTCAGAACATTGGCTTATGTTTTACGAGCAAGTAACTGTGTTTTTTTGTGATGCTGCAACATTAATTGTCAATAAAGTAACCTTTTTAAGTTAAAGGATTGCGATTTATATAGGGTGTTTATGGGTTGGTGCTATTTGTTTTTTTTTATTGTAGTTGCTCCATGTCTTTATCTACCATAATATGGCTACTTCTTTTTATTATTCTATCAGTACAGAAGAATAGTCACGGATATTTATATTTTTAATCCACACATGCATTAGAGTTATTAAGTAAATAAAACTACTGCTCACAATTGTCAATTTCTTCTTTCTCATACACTGCAATATATAAACATTGTAGATATACAAGAATTTTATGAAGCTATCCTACTTGATCCACAGAAATCCAAAGAAGAGAAAACTTCTGCTGCACTTGAAATAGCATCCAGATGGGAGAATATATCAAGTCCATCACTGGTGGCTTCAACAACTGACTTAAGAATACCACACAGTTTAATGAATAAGACGAATAATTTTGATAGAGCAGTGAGTTCAATTATTTTTCTTTCTACTACTTATTTTGTTTTGAAAAATTGTAATCATCATTTTCTCATGGCGTTATGATACGTTTGGTAGGGAACGTTTAACAGTTGTCCACTTAATAGGAATATTTTTATTATTATGGCTGTTCATTTGGGTTCCCAGTGTAACATAGGGCTTCAACATCATATCTCCATTTTGTGCTGCTCTCTGCAGTCTTCTTCATCTGGCCACATGATCGCCCATAAGTCTTAATCTCCTCCAACTTACACGATCTCCTTTATGTTACTCTCGGACACATGCCCAACTCTTCGTTTGCCATCCGGGTACCACTCGATTGGTGGCCTGGTGTGTGATATCACCCAACGGTCTTCTCAGCGTTTATCCAATCCATCTCCATTTTCTTCTACATATTTGTTGAGCAGTAGATTCTTGATTGCCAATTCTTTCTGGTCCACCATTTGGTCTTCAATATGGAGCCAGCGAAGGCAGCTGCTAATAAAAGTCTTTAGTGGGCTGCAGGAAATGTTTTTAGTGAGAAGTTTGCCAAGTTTCTGACCCATATAGAAACACTCACCGACTTGACACGTGTTGAAAATCCGAGTTTTGGACTTTATGCTGAGTGAAGCGGATGTCCAAACTGATTTGTTAGTGATGAATGTTTCCCGTGCATTTGCAGTTCTAGTTTTCATATCTTCACCCGTTCTATCGCCTGTAGTTGACACTCTGGTGTGTAAACAGTTGGAGAAGTGATCTCATTCAAATTTAAACCGTTGTTAGTGATTGGTGCCGGTTGTTTTTGGTTGGTTGGTTGGTTATCTTCATCACCTCTGTCTTCTTATGTCTACTTAAAGTCCTATCCTTGCTGTTTCTTCCGTCAGTTTGTTGGTGTTTTTCTGTGGGCGTTCTAGGTTATGTGACATTAGACATAAATGGTAGGCAAAGTCCACATCTTCTATAGTCTTCTTATCGGTCGAACGTATTCCTGTTTAATCGCTCCCTGCATACTGTGTTCCACATAATTTAGTCTACAATAATTGGGAATATACGGCGAGTTAATTGCTTTTCACGAATCTTTATTTAAGTGGAAGTCATGAATTAGGAATACAGATCTTTAATGTACGCATGTAACTTTCAAACTACTGTTTCCAAAATTGGACCATATTGCGAGTTTAACGTCTTTCTTGTGTTGTTACACGAAGTCCATTATTAATTTTTACGCATATTATAAATCACAACACTAACTACCGTGTTAATTCTTAAAGTTTCTCATTATTAGACAGTATTGTAGTCATTTTACAAGTGAGTTGTGGTCCATATGCTGAAAAGGCTATATAATATGCCAGTCTTATATTTGCATTCGTCTAAGTTTATGTTAGTATCACTATACAGTGAAGGGGTGTCTCATAGTTAAGGTTGTCTTTGTTTGGTGTCTGCATCGACGATGCAGACAGTCTCAAATTTGCTGAAAAATCAAGGCATGATACACTGATTCTTATATGAATTGAACCAATAGTAATCTTTGAAAAAGACTCAAAGTGCCTACAGTCAATAAAGCCACCATTGTAGCCTCGAAGTTAATTTTGACACCTAACAGTGGTACACAGCTTGTATGTTTCGTCCCATTCGGGACTTGCCAGCTGGATTTGTGCTCTCCCAGGTGAGTGGTCATGCTTCCACGCATACTTGAATCCAGTACGTTATTCACGAGGCCGTTTAGCCACCCTTTGGTGTTTGAAGCGATTGGCAGTCGGTTCAAAACTCACTGGAGACATGAACACTTACTGGGGAACAAGTAAGTTTATCTGATGAGTCCCGAATGGTGGTGGTGGTGGTGGGGAAACGCATCCCGGACTCTCATGTAAGCAACCATCAAACAGGTAACTTCAAGTCTTTGATCCTGTTGATATCGAGGCATTAGTTCAAGAAGCTGATACACCAAAGTGAAGGTGATCAGTGCGGTTAGGTGTATCAACGGTAAATCACAAACATGAATAGATAGAATTTAATTGAATTTTAGATTTTTCCGTCGATTGATTGGACCGAAGTGTTCGGTCTCAGGTTGACATATTGGCTTCTTGTGCAGATGCTTCGACGATGTCTGGACATGTAATCAGAATTTAATTGGTGGACGGTGACTAGCAGTGGAATCCAGAATGCCCATTTCGTCCTATTTGGGAATCGTCTAATTAAATACCCAGAAATCGTTGAAGCATCTACACAAAAAGACGACATGTCAACCTGAGCCCGAGCACTTCGGTCCAATTAATCGACGGGAAAATCTAAAATTGAATTATAGTTAATATGGCCTGTGGCACAAAAGGTGACTGTCATGGCCCAAGTGGTCGAGTGGATAACGCTTTGACGTTTGAAACTAAGGGCACTGGATTCGAGCCTCGGTGGGAACATCATCACTAACTCACTTAGGAATGTAGGTGCATCCAGTTGACGAGTCCCAAATAGGACGAAATGCGCATCCTGGGTCCCACTGGTAGTCACAATCCACAAATTAAATTCTAATGAATAGATAGAAACTTAAATAGTTTCTCCACAGATTGTAAATATTTTCAGTCAAGCATGTACTGAGATTTATTGCTGAATTATATGTCCTTATAAATTGCTGTGTTTTACCCCTAGAAATGGGAAATATAGTCTCATGTTATTTCTTTAAATTCCGAGTGGAACCCAGGGTTTCAAGATTGAGCCTTGAAGTTCCGGTAAAAGTGGTTTTATTATTACAGGGTGGGGTTGCTAGCCTCATGTTCGACCTTTTCTTTCTACCGACCTTACTCTCGGTTTAGCAAGGTCTAGGAGTGTGTCGGCAGGGGGTTGAACTCATGAGGCCTCGTGAGGTGGCGTGGTTGGCGAGCAGTCTACTGCTGAACCACCGACGCTCAATATAGCCTCATGCATGTAAGTTTCATAATGAGACACCAAGTGTTATGTAGTCCTTGAGGAATGATCTTCATTTATCATTTTTTAAGTCAACTCCACGCAAAAATCAGTAAATTTCAAATACTTGAATACATTACACTATCGAAAGAATTAAAGTATTCCGATTTCAAGTAAATCTAATGTCATTTCTGATCACTTTCACATTGTGATGGTGATGTCTTCTGATATTAATAACCAGTCTCATATTCAAACATTTTCAGCAGTAGCACTTGTCTCGGCTCATTCTCAATAAATAAGAGAAATCAATATTGGGAAATTTCGTCATGTTCTATAAAAAAAACTAAAAAAAACGGAAAAAGAAGTCTGTTATCTGTCTATTTAATAAGAAAACAGATAGGTATAATAACTTACAGTCAAAAGGGGACTTCATTCTTAAACGCGTATATTGGGGTTTAAATTTCTGAAGGCTTATTGATTGCCTGAGTCGTAAAATAAACTAAATTCCTAGATGGTATATTATCGATGTGTGGTTAAATAGTCAATAAATTGTAATCACAAAGTAATTTAATAAAAAAGCTAAAAGAAAAAAGCCTTACTCTATACACAATGGCATATAAATATAAATAATTTTCAAGATTTAGTTTGTAGGATTTAATTTGCCTCAGGTTTGACCATTGAGTGATATCAGTTAGAGAACCATTTAAAAACCAAAGATTCATGAACGGCTGTTTCGTCCCGGTAAGGGACTCTTCTGTATTACGTACCCATGACCTTACCAAAGATCTAACTCACTCCATTATCAGATTTGGGACAAATCCCAATCCCTTCAAAATAACACTTGAAAATTAATCTGAGGCTAACTAGTGACTTATCACGGGATGAAATTGACTGGAATTCTATTGAGAAGTTGTGACTAGCAGAGTCCATCAGGTCGGGTGTAGGGACAAAATACTCGCAGCTATGACACTGGCGAGTAGTGTCGCGCTAAAATCACAAATTTACAGAAGTTGGAATTCATGGTCCACTAAATTCTGTCCCAGTGAATGAATGGTCTACAAACCCATCTCATAACCTGAAGCTCTTGGGTTCGATCCTGGTTGGGATCATGGGTATGTACTGATGAAGAGCCCAAAAAATAGGATGAAACAGCTGTCCAACGCTTCTTAGTTCTCAATGGTTCTCCAACTGATACCAGTCCTTGAACAAAGCAAGAACAACTATTGTACCAGGATAATATGAGCTCATCTTTTATTATTTCGAGGATTCTTCTCAACTGGTTACAACTTTTCTACGATCACAAGGAGTAATTGGTAGGAATTAAAAGTAACATTAATCCGAAATGATTTAACTGATTAGGAGTTACAAACACTGACTATTTATAGAATAATTAGACAATTAGGCTTGGAAACAAAATCAGGGTTGCGTATATATGTGTGTGTATGGAAACAAGGTTTAGCTAGAAAGAGCACAACAAAAAAGTAGATTACGTAACTAAAGAAAATGTTTTATCTAATAGCCAATAGAAAAAAGGAAAGAAAAGAAACACGGTAGGGCGAGTCGTGTTTAGATGAGAAAGTAGAGTTTTCTAACATGAGAAAGGGTGACTCATAAAAGTTGTATATTTTTTGTTATCACCAAGGCAGTGCAAGATTCACCACTGTCTCTTTCTGCGTACATAGATTTGGTTTAAGTCGTTTGATGGCAATTGCTTCAGCAAAGCGTAGCAAGTTAGGTTTCTTTTGCTTGTTGATTATTTTAAACGACTTCAGGTTGTCTACAATATGAACAGTGTCCGATAGATGACGAGGAGTCGCAGTGTTTAATGCTTGCGGACCTTTCAGTCTCAGGTTCTTTGGTATGCGTTCGTAAATGCGGACACTAACCCTTCTCTTTGTTCTTCCAATGTATATGCTTTGGCACGTACATATAAATTGGTAGACACAGTTGAAGGTATCACTCAATCTGTGGGCAAATCTGAAAAACCAATCCACTTGTGAAGATGATTAAGTTGTCATATGTGTAAACTGAGATTTTGTAAATTCCGAATTAATATTACTGCTTTAATAAAGCTATATTAGCAGCATTTAAAATAGCGAAATATCAGTAAAAAC